TATATATATATATATATATATGCATGAAAAAGAAAAAGAAAGAAAAAAGAAAAACTATGCATGAAAAGGTAATTTTACTTTTGAAAAGTTGAACAGATGGTTGTTTTCATGTGATACGAAAGATTTGGATGCTATAAATGTAAAATTTTAAAGTTAGGGGTTAGATATGCAAATATGTAGGAATTAGTTGGTATGTTTGTCAATGCCCCTTTTTTATAATGTCCAACTACCGTCTATATTTGACCATACCTGCCATCTTATAAACCCCCAATATTACTAAATATTATATATAACTTGTAACTACATAGAAATTTTTTGGCATTTGAAAATTTCAACAAAGGAAAAGTCAAAAAATGAAGGGCAGAAATGTAAGCCAAGAAAATTAAGCCAGACAAGGATTTGAAGTAGACATTCATCCTGAATCAATCTTCAGTCAGTTGTTTGATCGGGTAAACAGCCAACATATGTTATTCTAACAACTTGATCATCAATTCTTAAGCCCCTTAGCAAGAGCTTGTTTACTAATTTTAGATTGTTTCTTATTCGTCGTTCTACAGCCCTCATTATCAACATCCTCATTGGAAGGAGAAAATATTACATCAGGAGTCCTGATGTAGTTTCATGTACGGATGATAATATTTAGGTGTTATTGGCAGTATTGTGGTGTTATTTTACCAAAATAATAACCACAATGCTGCCAATAACACCATCAGCACCCAATCCAGATGTAAGTCATCCGGATGTAATATTCTTTCCATTAAAATAAAGATTTTGAAATTCATAAAATAACACCACAATACTACTAATAACACCATCCACACCTAATCCAGATGTAGGACATCCTAATGTAATATTCTTTCCATTGGAATAGAGATCTTGAAATTCATTTGCCAAAAAATTAGGAACAATTAGATTCTAACTAAGTCTAAACTCCCCATCTTCCCTTTGGTTCTCTTCCACCAAATAAGAATTAGGATTAGTCTCCTTTTGTGTATTACCTTCCATGAATTCAAGAGACAAGTTAAGGTTATATATTTGGCCATTTTGACAAGTCATAGTACAAGGAGTAATTGCACTTGAGTTGATATGTTTGAATTGAATGTGTATTTGAAACCCTTGAGCAATATATTGGAACATCCAATCATGTGCTTGTCATCATTAAATTCAATGGCTCATGTGGCTACCATTTGCATCATAGGCAATCATTTGAAGTTTGAGAAATTAATAATGCTCAAGTGCGTGCTTGAAATCATCATAGGTTTGGCACATTAAACATGGTAAAAGGGAGCTGACACTTCCTTGATCACTTATAAAAAGTATTCAAGATAAGACATGCGATCATCTACTAGCCTTATTTATATGAAGAAAAATATCTTCGAGTCTCGAAAATAGTTGTGACTTCAGAGTTTCTATTAAGAAAACATTGATAGATTGAGCCTGTCACCTTGTTAATTATAAGGGGAAAGAGATTTTTATGGTACTTCCATTTGATAATATATAGTTCATCAGTAGGCGATAAAGTAAATGATAGAGGGTTATGGTAATAATGGAAGATTAAAGAAACCGTTGATCGATGCCCTTGAATGGAATGAACAAGAGGAGTTGCTTGTGGCAATCATTTAAAGATTATCTTGATCATTCAAGGTTATTAAAACTTGAAATGATCAATCTGAATATCATTCTCTAATGATCTTTCCTCTAGATGTTATACATAGTAATTTCTTATTTTTAGCTATCCTCATGCTCATCCAAAGTTCAATAATATTGGATTCAATGTTGTTTGTAAAGAGTATCTAAATCTTATTATATTTGTAGTTTGAACCCAAGGATATGTTCAGAGATTCTCTTTATTAATTTATGGTTTACAAAATACTTTCTATACTTTTTAGAGAAGAAGGATGAATCAAACAAAGTTTGAGTACATATAAGAGAAGGAAGATAAGACATTTTACCAGTACTTCATACAAATGGCCTACATTTGTAGACAATTAAACTTGATGCATAAGCATGTAGGTTCACTTTGGGGACTCAAAAAAATCTAACTCAAGCCACTTCATGATGACTCTCAATCTCAACTAGGAGAATTTGAATGTACAACAAACATTATGGTTCCTTCAAGTTTAAAAGAACAAAGTTTCTCAAGACATATATTGAGGCTTAGTTAGATTCAATACTTTCATGTAAAAGAGAGTTTTTCAAGACCTCATACATTTTGCATAAGTTGTAGAACAGATACACTTGTTCATTATATATGCATGGAACCATGACTTCTGAGCATATTTAGAGTCAAGAGCAAGCAAAGTTTAGTTTGAACTAATTAGAGAGCTTTCTGTAGTAAAATAATTTTGTAAAAATTCTGAGTACAATAATCTCATGTAATCTCATGTAAGATTCAAACAGATTCAAACAAAAAAAAAAAAAAGGCTTCACTTCGAAGAGAAAGAACCTTTCAACCTTTCCCATTCCTCAGGGCCCTTAGGATGCAGATTTACAAAATATTTGAAAAACCGTGCATCCGAGCATGCAAGAACCGTGCTCAATGCAACCGTGGAACTAACCAATTTCCTATTTTTGGTAGAGAAGCTAATTCCATTCTCCTTGAGCCACTGGAACATAGAAAATCTCAGTTTTATCTTATCCAAGTTGTAGCATAAATATGTTGGAAAGGCAGCAAGTGCTTCTAAGGGATAGCCCAAATCATTCAAAAGGTAAGCACTCTTCTTGTCAAGCACATCAATGGACTGGTTTAACACTGGGGGAACTAACTTGATCATTTCAGTAGCCGTGTGGCAGTCCAGACCAATTTCTACAAGGAAATCAAACCTTTCCTGCAGTTGATCCCCTCTTCCTCTAAACTTCTTCAGCACTCTAGCCATTTCATCAGAATTCTCAACAAATCCTAATCTTAGCAAGAAATCAGTTTTCTCCCTCAGAAAGCTGCCCTCAACTTTTGGCAAGCTTATGGCACTAGACTTCTTACTAGTGACCAGATAGGTGAACTGATTTGGATCTTCTTTTATGATGTTGCAGAGCCGGTCCTGCGACAGTTTCAATCTCTGCAAGACAGAATAAGTACTTTTACAGGAAGATGCTCCAAGAACATGAGGGTGAGTATTGACAATCATTTTAATGTCCTCCACATTCATGCCAATATCAACTAAGAAGTAAATAGCCTGCCATAAATTTTTTACGAATTTTCCATCAAGAATTCGGGGATATTGCACAAATAAGAGTATGATATCACTCATTTTAATGCCCAGTTTCAACAACAATGCAACTAAAATGTAAATCTTCTTCCCTGAATCATCAAAAACAAATCTGGGATGCTGATTGATTAATGTTTGCAGGTCCTTCTGGTTGCAGCACATTCCATCCAAAAAATTGAGCAATTTCAGAATTCTATCCCAATGGTATACACTGTTATCTGACAGACATCCCCTGATCAAATCCAGCTCAACTCCTAAAGCCTTCAACTTTTTGAGGACTTGAAGAAAATCCATGTCAAGATCACCAATCAGAAGGGCTGGGCAACAATTGACCAACTTGATGATGGTGGGTTTGCTCAATCCAAGCCTCTCGTAGCTCCGAAGTTTTGAATTCAGGACACCATGATCATACTTGAACATCTCACTCCCTTCTTTGTACATCTTTCCAATCTTACTCCTAGGAACTCCATAGTTGCAGAGGACACGGTAATTCTCTATTAACAAATCATCATCTGTAAGGTAAATCAAATTGAGAGGCAGAAGTGGATACAGTTCAGAAGGTTTCAAACCTAAGCTCTCAAAGAATGGTTCAAATTCATTGATGGGAGTGTAGCGAAGAAACCTGGAGACTGACCTCCCAACTTCTTCTCCATTAATGACCTTCGCAAGGAGGCTCTGAAGGAATACTGGCGAATTCTTGCTAATGTGCTCGGCGTCAGTGAAGTTCAAACACCTGGTGTAGTGGAGATAGTCGAACAGTGCAGTCTGGGCATCTGTTCTCTCAGTTCTAGACATCCTTGATCCATAATTTCCATCAGGCGCCGATTTTGCAGCCATTGTTGAGATGCAGCAACAGCTACGTTTTCGTTGAAGATTCCACAAATTCCGTAAATAATTCTGAATCCTAAAAGACGAATAACTTCTTCCACTGAATACTGCATCTACGGCTCCCATCTTCCTTGCATCAAAAACTGAATTTTTCCACGAGGAATCGCGCGGATTCTTCCCAACAACAACAACACAACGAGAAACAGCAGGAAGAGTGAAGGTGTTACTGGTTTGGATGAGCATATTCAGGAAGGAATTTCTTTGTAAGAACCAGCGTCTTAACATAATTGATTTGAAAGCTATAAAAGCATCGAAAAACTGCAAATTCTAAAAAAAACATCAACTTTTGCACATATTTCTTCACACAAATTGAATTCTGAGTTTTCAGTCTACCACAAATTCTCCAACCACGATTTTGTGCTTACCTCTGCAACTTGACGCATCATTCTCTTATCTCCATGAAGCCCGTGGTTCTCGAAAAACCCTACAATGTTTTTTTTTTTTCTTTTCCTACTTCAAAAGAGGGATTTTTATTAGACTTTTGCCTTCTTGTTATCATCCGTCAGATTGTAAGTACAACAAATCCAACGGTTCCTTTAACCCGACAGTATTATTTCACCCTACTTATTAAATCCAGCGTAGTTTTTTGATTGGTAAGCGGAAAGAAGACGATGGATTGTTCAGCGAAGAATGCAGTATTATTCTGCTGTTGAGGGAAGTAGAAAAGAATCTCTTCCCTCCTCTCTGAGGTAACTAGGTTCTTCACATCTCCTATTTAATGGTGTCTCGAGCCCTTACATCATCTAGATGCTGCTGTTCTGAACTACATAACCATGATTACAAAAAAAGTCGCAAATCCATGTAATCGCAATTGGATTTCTAGGTTTCCTCCTGAAAATGATTTGAATTCATCAAAAATTCAAACTTGCAGTCATTCCCATGCTCATGTTGCTATCCGGCGTCTGTGCAATCAAAGAACTTCGAATGCCCTGGAATCATTCTTTGTCAACTGGAAGCCTCATATCTCATCAAGTTATAGTTCTTTCTCTGTAAAAGAACGACATTGGACTGGTTCCAGATGCTTTGGCTCTGTTAGAAGTGAGGAACATGGACAAACACTGCATGTCAGCAATCGGAACGTTGTGAAGGCTCAGGGCGTTCTTCTTGATTATCTTCATTCCACAAGAGGCATACATTTCACTGATGCCGAGCACATCAGTAAAAACTGTCCCTTTTTTGTTCGTAGGATCTTGGAAAAGGTGGAAGATGAAGAGGAAATGGAAAAAGAATTAGTTAGGTACCTTCGCTACCATCCCATCAATGAGTTTGAACCATTCTTCGAGAGCATTGGCCTGAATCCTTCAGAGTACAATCCATTGCTTCCACGAGAATTGATGTTTCTTTCTGATATCGAAGAAATGCTCAGTAACTATCGTGATCTATGTGATTATGGTATTGCTCGCAGTAAGATAGGAAAGATGTACAAGGAGGCTAAAGACATTTTCATGTATGAGTCTGGTTTGTTGAAATCAAAGCTTCTAGCTTATGAACAACTTGGGTTGAGGAAGCATACTTTGATCAAACTAGTTGCTTCCACCCCAACTCTTTTGTTAGGTGACCTTGACAAGGATTTTGTTCTGTTGCTGAAGAATTTGGAGGAGATTGGGTTACCAGGAGATTGGATTGGAGGGACTTTGTCTGAAAAAAATACTTATAACTGGGGTAAAATGTTCGTGCTTTTGAATTTGTTCAAGGACATGGGGTTTGATGAGAAAAAGCTTGGGACTTTAATTAGTAAACACCCTGGTTTTTTACTTGATGGTTCAGGAGAAGCTGTGTTTTCATTGATCTGTCTTCTTCTTAAGATGGGTGTTTCAAGAAAGGAAATTTTCATTATGTTTTCAGAATTCCCTCATCTTCAAGTTGGAAGCTTTGTAAGAAATTTGCGACGGGCCTTTCAGTTTCTAGTTGAAATTGAAATGGATTTTGAGGATGTAAGAAAGCTTATTCGCAATCATAAAGACAGTTTGGGTCTGATATTATTGAAGAAACCTACAAGCATTATGACAAATCTGAGTAGTGGAAAGAAAAGACTCTGTAAAATCATAATTGAAGATCCTCACCAGTTGCAGAAATATGCAATGGGATTGAAAGTTTCTCCTCTGCCAAGTAGCGACGATGATTTAAAATCAATATTAGAGAAGAAGAAATTCTTATCTCGTCTCGGCTTTGTTGAGAACTCGAAGAAGATGAAATTGGCTCTTGAAGTATTTCGGGGGAAGGGTGATGAGCTGCAAGACCGGTTCGATTTTTTCGTTAGAAGTGGATTGAATCCGGGCGATGTTTTAGAAATGTTGAAAAGGGCGCCACATATTCTCAACCAGAAGATAGAAGTCCTGGATGAGAAGCTTAGTTTTATCATAAATAATTTGGGTTATCCCTTGAGTTCAGTGGTGAGGTTCCCACAATGCATTTCATTCACAACTGAGAGGATTAAACTTAGGCATCTGATGTATGATTGGCTGAAGGAAAGAGGAAAAGTTGCACCAGCTTTAGCTTTGGGTAGTTTAATAGCTTGTTCGGACAAGCTGTTTGTAAAGAGATTTGTAAGCCTTCACCCAGATGGTCCTAAGGCCTGGGAAAGTTTCAAGAAAGCATGATTTTCAAATGAATGAAACTTGCAGGTTTGAATCTTTTTTTTAAATTTTGAAGCAAAAGTAAGGTTGCTGATTTTTTTTTATTAGGAATTTTGTATTCTCCATTCTTTGAATTCAGTTTTTATTTGTGTTGATCCTGAACTCAAAATTCTTAGCATCTTACGTTGCTTCATTGTTCTGCTATATGCATATTATGTTAAAATCACATCTAAAGGTTTTAGTTGACAGCACTTGAGAGAAAAGGAGATTATTCATTCATTTATTATGCATACATGAAGTTGAAATTGAGTTATAACATTTGTTATTAGGCCATTTGGTTATTTGGTAAATAGAAAACATGTTTAGAAAGTAATAATTTCATTTTTAATAGTTTTGAGTGTGAAAATGAAGTCATTATTTTCGAATGATTTAAGAGAAGTTTGAAATCAATGTTGGTGTTTAATTACATTTAACAAATGATGGATCATTTTTGAAGCCATGATTTTAAATTTTATGCAACCACCAACTGAACCCTTTTATGATCCCAAATTATCTATCAAAGCAAATACATTACTAATAAGATATAATTATATAAGAAAGAAGAATGTATCCATTTGATGGCAATTGCAAACTTTCAATTTTAAAAGTTATAATGATTTTAAAAAAATGATAGATCAGTGTATCTTAATTCCCTTTGAAAATGCTGTTAAACAAATAATTGAGGGAAGCTGTTAAGGATCTTCTCCCAAATTCTTTTTTCTTACCACAAAATCTTGTAATTCATATTTTAAGAAATGTAATCTAATGAACTCTTAGTTTTTCAATTGCAGATCTAGGCTATACAAACTAAAACACTTTAAATTGTCGTGGCTTTTACTTTTGCCATTTAGGGTCCGTTGGGGGCAGCTTGTGCGTTTCAGGATAAGCTGCTTATCCTGAAACGCGGCCCGCGGGCTGACCGTAGGGGTCTACCCGCGGCCTGCATTTAGTATAAAAATCCAAACGCAGTTTCGGATAAGCTGGTGAAACGCGCGAACCAAACAGTACGGCGACGTTTTGAAAACGCCGCCCGCACTTATAAGCTGCCCGAAACGGATCCTTAGTTTCAAAATTCCAATGTTTATATTTTAGTACTTTCATTGAAACCTTATGAGTTGAAGGAAGAGAGTTATGGCATTTGAGTAAGGTGACAACCCATAATCATAGTATCCTAAAAAAAAAGTGATGGATTCTTGTTAATTTTCAAAAAAATCTATAGTAACTTCCATGTACGGACATAGAGCCAATTAATAAACATGAATGACAAGATTTATACTGTAATTCATAAATTGGTAGACCAATTAGGTCTTATCGGAATTGCTTATGGATACTGAGAGATTCAAGTAGCGACATAATGAGTTTATCATCTAGATTTTCCTTAAAGTAATAATATAGTGAATCAATCATCTACAACAACAAAGCCTTAATCCCACTACTTGGGGTTGGCTACGTGGATCCTTTTTCTCCATTGCGTCCTAACAAAGATAAAAAAGATTCATGTCATTATTTTTTTCGACAAGTTTTACGTTGGTTGTGGACTACCTAACACAACCCTTCATTTTTCACATCCGGGCTTGGGACCAGCAATGACAATGAATCAATCATCTAATGAACATAAATCTCCAAATAAGATGAACTAACTCTATTGTTTCATTAATTGGATTACATAAAAGGCCCATAGATTAAATTTTTTTTGGCGTGTTAGCTATAATCCAAACATATTAGTTTATAATGTTGTTGGGTGGTTCATCGATTGCATGGACTTCAACTAAAAAAAATTTAAAGTAATCTCACTTTGAAATTGAAGCGTCCTCGTCTCATTGATTACAAAGTAAACATGGTTTTGATGATTCTGTGGCCTTATACTCAGCATAGTGAAGGGCCTGATATAATGAGGTAAATCTTGCTTAGTTTCATTCATCAATTATTACTTTTTTATTTGTTGGATCTACTAGTTAAATTGAATGTTTTTGATGATGTATAATGCTTAGAATCCTAATCAATGTTCGGAGTTCTATGAACAATCATAGTTTGTTACAGCTTGCTAAGAAGCTTGGTTCGGATTGGTGAAATTGTTTACTTCTAAATGGATCTCTTCTTGGTTTCTTAAGAGCTAGATAGTATCATGTTGCTAGCTTACTCTTCATCGTCAAGGTCTTGAGTTCATGGCTTAGCATATACAAGTGTGTGTAGGGCTATCAAAACGGCTCGTTGTTCGCGAACAACTTGTGTTCGGCTCGTTAATTTCGTTTGATAAGTTAATGAGCCGAACACGAACTAAGATGTGTTCGCTCGTATCAAGTTTATATATATATATATATATATATATATAGTATTTTACTTTTTTGCTTTTATAGACGGGGATCCTCCCCCTCCAATTTTTGTATCTTTTCTAAAAAAAAAAAAGTAGTATTTTAAAAAAATCTAATTGGCTATTATAATCAATTAAAATATTGATTAAGAAAATATAATAAAAAATATTAGATTAGATTCAAATGATGTTTTAATATAAATAATAATTTTTAAATCTTGCTCAAATTTTTATTGTCTTATGGCTACATGATTAGAGTTGTTAAAAGGACTCTTTGTTCGTGAACAACTCATGTTTGGCTCGTTAAGCAAACGAGTGTGTGTGAGCTAAGAGAAGAGCGAGGTAATGTTACAATGAGTAGTTATCCTAACAATGATCATGGGGACTTTAGCTCTATTGAGGAGAGGCAAGTAAATTTAATGTTTTTTAGAGTTTAATACAGAATTCTAATGTCATCTATCAACTATTTTACTTGATGTTTAGTTTATCTTGAAAGTAATGACATAAATTAAGAGGGGGGATTAAATGAGATTATTTTAAAAATAATTTGAAAATCTCACTTTTCAATAGAACAATATCTTGGTTTTTGTATTAGGAGTGACTTATTTAATGCTTTAAAATTCGGATTTTGATGCCTAACAACTTGTTCTGGCAGTACAATGTTGCTTCATTCATGCCAGAGAGCATTTATTAAATGGCTTCTTCTTCTATTGGTTTGTATCTTCTTTCACACTATACTATAGTTTCAATTATCTTATTTTCACGCTATGCTATCGTAGAACCATCTAATACGACTCTCTGATCTTGTCTGCCGCTGGAGCTACACCAACCCTTTCACGGTTACATTCGTTTCGCATTTTGTCTCTAAGTCTCAAACCATTCATCTACCTAAGCATTCTCATATGAGCAACACTTAACTTCGTTTTATGCTTTTCTATTAAAAGGCCAACATTCTGCGCCATACTTACAACTCTGTCATTAGATTTACTACTACTATTAAAATGTAGAAGGAACATATAGAAAAAGGTGAACGTTCTTTGAAAAAAAATACATGACAAAAAAAGAGGCATTTACACTTATACCACCCAATTTCTATGTATTTACATATGTAACACTGACACTCTACTTTTTGCATTTAAAAGCACTCAACTCTTTCGTTTAGACAAATCTAAATGCATGATGTTTATCATTTACATACATACCAGTAGGGTTGTAAACGAGCCGAGCTTGAGCGAGTTCAGGCTTGGCTCGTGTTCGGCTCGTTCGAAATAGCTCGTGTTCGAAATCGACTCGTATTCGAAATCGGCTCGTGAACAGTGTGTTCGTGTTCGGCTCGATTTAAATATTCGTGTTCGTGTTCGGCTCGAAATTGGCTCGTTAAACTAAAATTGAGAAAAATAAATGTAAAATATGAGATTCGACACATGAGGTGTTATGATTTAAACTTAGACATAAATATATATAATATATTATTATATAAATAATATATGTAATATATTGTTATATAAAATGTTATATAAAATTTTTTTCTCGAGTCATTTCGAGCCGAACACGAGAGAACAAGCATTTGTTCGTGTTCGGCTCGTTTACATTTCGAGCTTAAAAATTTGTTCGTGTTCGCCTCGTTAGGCTTAACGAACGAGCCGAACACGAGCTGTTTAATGAGCCGAACTCGAGCCGTTCACGAACAACGAGCCAAATTGACAGCCCTACGTACCACCCAATTTCTATGTATTTACATATCTAACTCCTAAACTATGGTTTCATGTAAATCTTCCTATGTTCAACTTTAGAAATCAAAATTAAATGTTAAATAAAATACATTTTAACCGGTCAAAATCGCTCGTCTAACCTGTAATTTATGTAATTTTTTAATTTTTTTTAAATATTCTATATTTATATGAATTATTTGATTTTTATATGATAAATTTGAGTGGCATATGATTACTTTGATTTATATATAGATTGTTTTTTTTTTAATTTAAAATTCAAAGCCATATATTTTTATAACATAAAAAATATAGTTTAATGAAATTTTTTTTATAAAATAATATAGGTATATTCAAATTAACTTATTTTAATAAATATTTAAATATTCTATAAAAAAATTATATTCATAAATTTAAGATGAGCCAAAATATATTTTTAATTTTATAATTTAAAATAGAAATAATTAAATATTATCTATACATTTAATTATTATTAAATTCGCTTGTTTCTACCATGTGTTGCTAATTAGCTAAACTGATTAAACTAATTGTCTCTCACACATGGAGTTAATTGATGTATTTAATTAAAGAAATTAATGAACAAATCCTACTTTATATAATAATACAAGGAAGCTTGCCAAGCTGTATTTGGTATAGTCCCCCTTAATCAAATTAGAGATTACTTTAAAAGGATTATTTTATGTGTTTTTCCCCTTTAGATGTCTGTGGGTATGTTGATGTACGTTGTTTTTTTAAAGAATCTGCGAACAATAATGTACAACCCCATGTGAAGAAAATCATCGGAGGCAAATCACATAACTATATGTGGTGTGTGCTAGAAAATTCGCGGCGATAGAGTAATGAATTATTGTCTTGGAGTTGCATGAGAATTCAACACATACTCAGATAAAAGAAAACAGCCAAAGTGGCACTAGAAGTTTTTCTGAGGAAAACCCTTAAGGGAAAAAATCATGAGGTTTGACCCAGTTGTAAAAGTTCATTATAAGTTGAAGATTATAGAG